TACAAGTAATTAGCCTTTATGGGTAAAACATTAATAAAAGTGTTAATTCATAGCTTATTAAAGTTTGAATCATCCTTAATTAATGATGTGTTCAAGGTTAAGCAACCCTTTATTAATGATTAAGGCTAAACAAGGTGTAGCCGCTTTTATTGTGATAATTTTTTCTGCCATTTCAGCCAACCTGATTCTGTAAAGCTTCTAAAGGTCTTCTGTGCATGTCCCACTGTGAGGAGATCCTAGACTCCTGATCCAAAACTCTCTGGAGGGACTATGTAACTTCTCTGGTCAAGAAATATCTTTAAACCTTTTTGTATTAAATCAAAAACGATTCGTTTGTAAACCTCACCCCATTCACAGTTAAAAATACATCAAAACTGTTTTTTTAAAGCATCATTCATGTATTTCCTGTTTTTAAGAAACTATTTCTTTACATAAAACCTGTGTACCTCAGAGTGCGTGATGCGGACTCCATTGTAAAAAGCCATCACGGTCTCAGGCCCGACGTCGGTCTTGGCAAACAGTCCCTGTCCAGCTCCTCTGATTAAAGATTCAGCCACAAACACCCTGATTCAAACAGAAAAATAAAGCTTAACACCTGTCACCTGTCAGCGTGGGGCTTCACACAAAGCTGACCTACCTTTGACTCTCATATGGGTCAGGCAGCAGAGCCTGAGAGGTGATACAGGTCGACGTGGACTTGTCATAGGAATACACTGGACCTTTAATACAAAAACAAATGATTGAATTATATAAAAAAAAGCTCCAGGACAACTGTAGAAAATTACAAATACATCCATTTTATGTTTTTCTACTTTTCATTTCAGTCACAGAGAGCTGGTGTCTGTGTCCACAAGTTATTGTGTGAGAGGTGGGGGACACTTGAACGGCTCATCTTAGCACAGAATAGGGTTGGATATAATCGTATTGTGTGCAATTAATCATCAGAAAAACATAAATCGATTATTTTTTGGCACTTGACGATTAATGCCACCAGGCTCGCTGCTCCTCTCCGCTTCAAATATGACGAACATTAAAAGTTCTGTAATTTATTTATCTATCAACACAATTTAAAATTTGATGTATAGCCTGAAGTCTGTAATTTTGACATAATTTGGAACAGATTTTTACGAAGAGCAAATCTTTCCCACTAAATTAGTCATTTGACTAGGACATAAGGATGTACAGGGACTCCAGGGGATTAATCGTCAAATTAATCGTTATCGGCTAAATACCACAATTAATTGTGATTAATTTTTTTGCCAATATTGCCCAACCCTAGCCCAGAAACAGCACTGGTGAAAGGTACTAGTGAAGTTCTCATGACCTCAGAGAGGACCATTCTTGTCCTGTCAGAACTTAAGATTAGGATTACAGGAACAGCTCTAAAAATTTTGTTTTATTTAATTGACAGATTCCAGTTTGTTAATGTTAATAATGAATCTTCTGCTTACACTACAGTTAGTCATGGAGTTCCTCAGGGTTCACTTCTTGGCCCAACCCTCTTTACTTTATGCTTACATTAGATAAAGTTATTAAACAGCATGGGATAAATGTCCATTGTTACACTGATGATACTCAGTTATATTTATCCATGAAACCTGATGAATCCAACCAGTTACTTAAACTACAAGCATGTCTTACAGACATAAAAACATGGATGACTCCTAATTTTCTGCTTCTAAACTCAGACAGGTTGTGTTTTTTAACTCCTACATTAATGTGACAAGGACTGCTTTCTTCCAGCTGAAGAATATCACTAAAATTCAAAACGTTCCAAAATGATGCAAAAAAACGGATGCAAGAATTTTTCAGTTCACAACATTCAACAGAAGCTACAGACAAAAGAAACAGCAGCTCTAACAAAACTTCTTATAAAGCTACATTACTACTCTTCTAGCTCTCCCATTCAGATGGATTTCACTGGCAGATTTTTAGCCGGACCAATCAGAGAACAGAACGTTGATTTTCTGTGCAGTGTCTGCTTGTAGTTTATTTTACCTGGACCAATCAAGAAACAGAAGGAGGAGTTTTGAATAACGATGTTCTGCGCAGTGTCTGCTAGTTATTTTAGCATACGACAGTGGAGGAAGTGAATGAAGCCAGTCTGTGTTGATAAGGCTTCAAATTAAATTAAATTTGTCGACAAAGCAGCAGCTCTCATTTACAGTCGTCTCGTTTGGCTCGGTATATTTCTCCTCTCAGTAGGGTTGTTTACAGCACACGCGATTTCAGGTTAGCTTCTTAGCTTAGCCTCCATCACAGCGACAACACACACATGCTTCAGCAGAGGCCACGCTTCCCGAAAGAAACGATTGTCTATGCATCAAGTCCAGACTCTAGTATGAAGCAAAGTGAAGGACGGGGTCTGGTTTTAACCGGGCTACTGCTCTTCAAAAGAACCCGCAAAGTCCCTTAAAATGGTACTTAAACCCCCTTTTCACTAGTGCCACTAGTATCGGTATGGTCAGTGTCGGAACGGGTCAGTTTGGGTGCTTTTCCATTGACATTCCGGTCCGGTTCCAGTCGGTGTGTTTTGGGCGGTTGGTGGAGATGATTTTTTTCGGAAAAAAAAAAAAAAAAAAGTTAATGTGCAAAATGAGAGATGGAAACACATTTGCCGAATAAGTTCTGAAATTTTAAAAATTCGCTAAAAATTTGAATTAAAATTGGATGGAAACACAACTAAAGTCGGTGCTACAATTGAAAAAATGGCACCTCGAGTTGTTGTTGTTAAGGCGGCTCAGACACAACCAGTGACTCCATCCCCTAGCCAAGCAGTGACGAACAGTGTTCTGATGTCGCAATTTGGTGTTGACTAGGACCTCTTGGAACCACAACGAAGTACGTACTAAAAAAAAGGTCTGGTTCCATGAATCTGGCCTAATGGAAAGGGCTTGGAACCGTACCGACACTACACTAAGTGGCACTAGTGGAAAAGGGGCATACTTCCAACAGGTACACATGCATAACATGGTCTAAGAATTTATTTTTAAAGTGGTAGAATGTACAGGTGGACTATTACTGAGTGCTCGCACGTTGTACTGTGAATGTATTGCTTTAAACTAGACTGAGTTATAAACAAATCGGTACTCACTGTTGGGTGAAATTTCAAAGAATGGTTTTCCAGTCTGGTTGAAGCTCAGAGTGGCCAGGCGAGCCCTGATCAAGTTCCCATCCACGAAGGTTCCAAATAGAGCCGTGCAGCCATCTGGGTAAACATAGGCTATAGAGTCACCGGTCATCTCTCCGTCCTTGTTCACCTCCCCGAACACACAACCCCCGTCCTAAAACACCACAGAACACCACAAGCACTGATCCAGGCGTTGTGTCTTTGTACTTGGAGCTCTCAGAGTCCTGCAGTCACTCACGGGGTGGTACACCCAGCACTCCCCATAGCGGACGTCGTCCTTGTACTGGCCCTTGAACACCATGCGGCCCTCTCCGTCCACCTCCTGAGCCAAGCCGTTGAGTTCGCCGTCCACATAGGTCCCGTTGAGAATGCTCCCGTCTTCATGCGTGTACACCCCCTGACCCTGCAGAGCATCATCCACATAAAAACCCTCCAAGGTGCTGCAGACAGAAAGACATTCATGAGGATCCTGCTGCAGTCACAGCTACACCACTGTTTGCTTTACATCCACCTGCAGTGAAAGTATGTGCAACTACGTGGAGTCTTTCCTTTGGCAGATTTGTGAAAACCAAAAACATCCAGTTTTGGTTCCCTACTCTTATTCTGGACTAGGGGTGTAACAATACATTGATCTATATCGATATTTAGATTTGAATGGTTCATGACTCAGTTATATCGAGGCAAAATGAAAACATCTATCTATATCGTCATCATATTCTCCATGTGAATCGATATCATATGTCCATCTAACAAAGTCATTGTGTTAGATGGACATTAGATATTGATTAAATCAATCGCAGATATGTGAATTAAATCGAAATCATATCATGACAGACTTTGTGATAGAGAAATACTGTATCGTCATTGAAACATTTCGATGTAATGTCGTATTGTGATAAAGCTGGTGATTTACACCCCTATTCTGGACTGAGGGAAAAGTTAGGCAAATCCCTGACAGTAAGAAGGCTGCAGTGTGGCAGGGGGGTTGGGTTTGAAAGGGTTTAAATTGATACTGGTGCTAAATCGATCCTTTCAAAACGGTACCGGTTCTTCAACGGTTTTTAAATCGGTAATTTAAAAATAAATAAATAAAACACACACACTCACACAGAGTTTTATGAAGCAATGACTATTTCTGAGGCAAAGTCAAACTTGAAATTGACCAACTTATTAACTTAAAACCATTAATAATTTGTCTTTGCACCAAATATTCTTAAARCATTTATTGTAGGTGGAAGTTTCTGCATCTTATTTTATTTATTTATTTTTTTTTTTTTTTCTGCATCTTATTTTAAAAAGTGACACCACACTTTGGACCGTTTTGCTTTCGAAATCTCAACTATAATATATATATATATGTAATTGTTAACTGCAGCGGCACCTGTTTAGCCCCTCTTCATGAACTCGGTTCTACTTGATTCACTTTGGGTCGAGTCGGTTCTGTCTCCACGCAGTGTGTCCCCCACTCTGTGGGTGTGATAATGTGTGGACCATCCGCAGCGGCTTCAACTGTTGTGTTAAAAATAATAATAAAATAAAATAAAATAAGAAATTTTATTAAAAATAAAAAGCCGCTGTGGTCTTACCGTTCAGACTTCACTTTTATTTATTTATTAATTAATTATCACGGTGCTGTTTAGCTAAGCGCTTGTGTAACCGTGATCTGCTCAGCTTCATCTCCTTCACCTCTCTCCAGGAAGTGTTTACAAGTTCTGCCTTTCCCAAAAGTCAGTTTTATTTCATTATGTCATCGTATCGCGCCGCACGCTCATTTTCCTAAACAAAAGCAGCTCTCTCCAGGAGGAAATTTGCTGTCAGTCAATCCAAGAGTTAATCTAAGAGCAGAATTCTGCTAATGTTAAAATCATAAGCGTGCTGTACTCTCCTCTACGTGAACCACCGGAGAGGAGGTTCTGAGACAGCGTGGCTGTGAAGCGCGCTTAGAAAGGAGCATTAGGCCGAGACCGAGCCGAGTCGAACTGCGTACAAGACAGACCGTGGAGATTGTGTGCCGAGGCTGTCACTGTTAACAGTGAGCACCAGAGGGCGCAAATTAACAGCTTTCTTTGAGGCACGAAAATAATGCACCGAAGTTAGAGTTGTGTTTAGGTCAGTGTACTACTGTTGATGTTCGCCCTGGTGCCATACTGGAACCGAGTTTCGGTACCCAATCCTAGTCACATGCACAACAAAACTGTGAGCCCTCAGTGACAGTGATTTTCAAATCGCTTCTATCTGTTAAATGTTAATGTTTGACAGACATGTGCATCTTACGTTAGTGATCAAACTCATTAAGTGAGGCAGAACCCCAATGAGTGCACTTTAGTTCTAATTAAATATTAATGTTTTAATGATTTTAAAGACAAATATTAATATGTATCATAACAAAGATGCGTCTCCATTTCACTTTAAATTTCCCCAGAATCATGAAGTTCTCCGAGTCAGCTTCAGCTGTTTATCAGAAATATCTGCTAAATGTAATAGCATCAGTAACAACAATGTGTTGGGACTGCTTTGTGCTAAATTTGATTATATTTAGAACCATACTGAGAGTTAACTGTACTGCTATAAATGTAATTTAATACACAATAATAAATAGTATTAAATGACTACATGAGCTGAAATCCTGTAAATATTCATTTTAAAAAGGAAGAAATCTGTCAGTAGGGTAAAATAAAGAAATAAAAATAAAGAATTACATTTATACTTCTGGTGCTATAATTTTATATCACACAACCTCTCAGTTTAAAATACCGAAATGACAAACTAGAGAAAAGCAGTTTAAATGTCTCTCTTCATTCAGAATACCATCTGAGATTCTAGATTAAAGTACCTGGGACATCAAATTTTTGCAATAAACATGAACGCATTTTTAAAAAGAGGACATTGATAAAATATTGTAAAAGAAATTTCATGTCGCTGAGATGAACAGTTGTTGAGATACTTGCCTGTGAAGTAACAGGAAGTTATGTCAAAGGGGAATGTCTGCATGTGAACAGATCATTAATACAAAAGCCAATATCCCAGACTGTAGAGAATAATCTGATGTTTCTTAAGATTATTTTGAGTCACTATCAGAGATGAAGAAGAGTCAGAGTTGAAATAACATTGTTTCATTAAACAAAGACCAGAGACTTCATAAACTCTCATTATTTCATCAACAGGTTTTGCACAATTGGAAAATGATCTACAAACATAATTTCTCTCCCCACAATATTCCAATCTGGAACTGCAGATATACAGGTCCTTCTCAAAAAATTAGAATATTGTGATAAAGTTCATTATTTTCTGTAATGTACTGATAAACATTAAACTTTCATATATTTTAGATTCATT